TCGGCTTGTGGGGGTGCTCCCAGTCCGCTGCCCTGAGCGGCTCCTTGCAGGGGCTGGGATGCATATGCCCCGTTCCACCCGCTTCCCCAAGGTCCCATCCCTACCTCTTCTCTGTCTCCTCTACGGAGCAGCGAGCACTCTGCCACTCGTTCCCCTCCCCCTCATAAGGGCCATCAGCTGATCGGCGCAGGGAAGGAGAGGAGGAGGGGCAGGAAAGCACCATGCTGGGGGAAGAAGCGGAGGAGGGGGGGAAGCTTGGTTGCCGCAGGTGGGCGGGGGGGCTGAGTGGGGCTGGGGGGCAGGACCACGGCAGGCAGCAGCATGCCACTCAAAATCGGCTTGTGTGCCGTGTTTGGCATGCATTCTGTAGATTGCCGACTGGGGTCTCAGTGTAGAAAAGTTTGAGACTCACTGGTTTATTTGAGATGTGTTGGTGGTGCCAGTCCAGTGGACAGATGTCCACATCTCTAACAGGCACCATATGGGATTGTCCTAGCATTAAAAAAATGCTATACAATTAAGTCCAGTCTGTTCGGGAGCGTTTTTCAGATCAACAGGTGCTTGGGCAATGCCATGTGATAAAGCTTATAGTGTTGCAGATGTATCTGCTCTGCTGACACCAACTGTCCTGGTTCAGGGGTGAACTGCACCTGTGGTCTCTCCCCGAGGGCACTCTTTCCAAGTGACAGGCCTCTACCTGCACTTCTCCCAACTGGAAGTCCACGATTCACTCCATTAGTCTGGATCAGCAATCTATAGCACCCTGTGTTCCCACTATATGATTACAGGGCAAGCAGTGCTTTATATTCCTTTGCAGTCCCTTAGGAGTGTACCTCTTAGGTAACAGATTTTGTTTCCTTCACCTCACTATGGTTCTACCACTCTTAGACTGGATCCTGCAGTGACAGCAGCAGCCTCCCTGTTTCCAATTGTGTTGGCACCTGCAACACACTTCTCTCTAGGAGCCTGTGACCAGCAGCTGATTAAAGTAACTCAAACTGGAGTGTTGACTATTCACCCCAAGGTACATAGCAAACAGATAGAAAAGTTATAACCACAAAAAGTCTGCATGCCTGGGTCTTGCCTAAACCTTATCACTTCTCTCGAAGTTTAGGGATGCCTACCTGCCTCAGACACATCTTACAGGTCCTCTGTCTCAGACCAACTGCTCCTGCAGGGTTCTCTACCTCTCTCTGAGTTGCTGAATACTCACTCGCCTATCGCCTTTTTAAAATATTTACAGTCATTTTGATCTGTAGGCTTTGGCCTTGGCAAAACAGTTAGGTAATGTTCATCTGGTATGTCTGAAAAGTAGTTTCCTGTTTAATGGTTCAGCCCTTGTCCCACTGAAACTGTTTACCTAG